CGGGAAGTGGAGAGTTAAAGTCGAAATCTCGCCACTACAGATCTAGTTTAGTGGAAACACCTTCACATACAGGTGGTGTTAATGAAGAAATAAGGGAAAAACAATTGAGAAGATTAGAAAGGGATAGAGAAACGAGGAGAGCTGGGGTGTATGCAGAGTCAAGGGTCAAAGATAAAAAGGACGCTGATCGAGATGGCTATAGACACCGAAATGACACTTATGGTGATCGGGAAAGACGAAAATATGAAAAAGGAGAGCGTAGTAGCCGTAGATCTCAAAACTATAATGGAGATAAAAGGGATGAGTTTAGGGAGCCAAGATCTCGCCGAAGTGAATGGGAAGAAACGCCATACAGGAGTAGTAAGTCTACAAGAGATGAAAGTTACACTCCAAGACACAAGTCTAAGGGTATGATTATCCTTTGTCTAGCCTCATCTGCAGAATATGCTGTCACTTCCAAGCTTTATCCCTTAAAAGGCTGTTTCATTTAATATCTGTACCTCCCTGTTGGGGACGAATGGAACTCCTCATGGGTATGACTTGTTGTAAAAATTGAGGATTTCTTTGGGGGTAGAGTAAAAGAACATGGAAGGCTTTAATTTCCATGAAATTCTTCAAGCGTAGACCCATATCCTTGAGGAGGTAGACCCATATGTGATAGAAGTATTTAGGGGTGAATAGAATTTTATTCAATCTTCAGGGGTAAGAAGAAAAGATAAATCCTCAACCAGGGGGTATGGATATTAAATGCAATATATTTAGCCGAAGAAGCTTTGTATGTGGATATGCATTCATTCTATAAACCTAATGTGTGCTTTATATGCTGTTCTAAGTGTATATCAAAGTGGATTTGCAGTGACTAATAATTGATTTAAAGGTTTTTTATCAACCTGATAGGTGGATATGTGGATATGTTGTGACAAAGTGGACTTGCAATAAATGTAATGATCATGTGAACACAGATGGACCTATTTTTAGGAAGCACTTTAAAGTGACAAGGCAGTTATTAACCTGAATGATGCTTCTGTTAGATATTAGAACACCTTCACGGAGTAGTTGGGATGATGAGGAGTCAACACCCAGCAGGTCAAAATGGGAAATGCCATCGCCGGCCAGATCTGTTAGTGAAGATGTAAGGAGTGAAAGAAGGTGAATCCATGTTTGATCTACTGCTCTCTTTTGCAATAGGCAAATCCAGCAAATTGTATTTGTATTCACTACCAAAGTCAACAAACTTAATTGTCATTAAATATATTGTGCTTGATAACTGTTCTACATTCTGTTCTCCATTTGTAGATCACATCGTAGAGTTGATGATACACCTCGTTTTACTCCCACACATAAATACAATGTTTGGGAAGATGATCGCCATAGTACTGGAGCAACACCAAGATTCTCCAAAGGAAAACGTAAGAACTTGACTGGCATCTTACACCATTTTACATACAGAAAGTTCTCAAAAATGATGAAATTATGTATGTTGTGTTCAATGCTACAACTTCCTGTGGGAATGAAATGCAAAACAATTTTTGGGTTTAAGTACAGACTGTCACCTACAGTATATAAGAGATACACTTCCTGAGAGGCAGTTAGCCCAAAGTCAGTCTCCTGTAGGGAAGAAAAGGGTATTTTATGATGGGTTGTATTCTGGGCCCAGTTGTTCGAAGGCTGATTAGTGTTTACCCCAGGGTTAAATTTAACCCAGGTTTCTTTTTCTTGTGTTCAAAAGCATTTTCTCGGAAAATTTTCTCTGTTATTTTTAGAGCTTCCAATCATCAACTTGTAGACAAAAAGAATTAAAACTGAAATGTTTTTTAAGCTTTTAAATCTGAATTTAAACCTGGCACTAACCCTGGGTAATTTTAACCTAGCTTTGAACAACTTGGCCCAGGTTCTTTAGGGCTAGGTTGGCAGCAATTGGTCAATAATAATAAGAAATTATGATCACATTCCACACAGCTAAAAATGTACATGCCATCAATGTGTTTTTAGGATCTGATGTTAGGCATGAATCACAATTTCCATCAGATGTTGACAGGGAAGAGTGGGAAGAAGAACAAAAGGTAATTATTACTTGCCCAAAATCAAGTTTTTATCACGGCATTTGAAAAGTATGGCATTTTAGCCATAGTCCAGTCGTATCATTATGAAAGGTGGATGTATAAAATTATGTTGAACATTATGTAGTCAATATAACATTAATAATAATTATAATAATGATATTAATTTGTATTAGTGCTATTCAGCTAATCTTCCATAATTGAGCCTATTATCGAGAATCTTAGATTCCTATAAGATATACAATGATGTAATATTATATAATGGAGTCTCTTTAAATTTACTGACTATTACTGTAATTGTGTTTACATTTTCACAGAGACTTGACCGTGCCTGGTATGACATGGATTCTGGTTACGATGAAACACACAATCCATTTGCCGATGTTAGTGAAGAGTACACTAAAAAGAAGGAAGAAAACATGGCAAAGAAAGCAGTCAAAAGAATGTCTGCTCAGCAGCGTCAGATCAATAAGGTATATACACAAAAAGTAACTAGTATCAAATAATTTCAATTGAGCACTTGTTTTCATGGTCATTGTTTTATTATTATTATTATTATTATTATTATTATTATTATTAATATTATTATTATTATTATTATTATTATTATTATTGATGCTTTATTACAACATCACAGAAGGTTCACGTGGTTCATGTCTATGTATGTATATTCAACTACTTAATATTTTGACCATTATGGGTTGAAGTTAATCTAACTTGGATTTTTTTTCTTTAGGATAATGACTTGTGGGAGACTAACAGAATGTTAACAAGTGGTGTAGTACAAAAATTAGAGGTTGATGATGATTTTGAAGACGACCAAGAAGCCAAAGTCCATTTGTTGGTCCACAACATTGTTCCACCCTTCCTGGATGGACGAATTGTCTTCACAAAACAACCAGAACCTGTTATTCCAGTCAAGGTATTTAAATAACCCAGGCTCTACATTTACAAGTGTGGTGGAGGAGTTAATCTCAGGACTACCAAGACTTCCTCAAATACTCCTAGAGTCCGGGTGGGATTTCATCTTGGGACCTTCAGATTTCAAGGCCAATGCTCCAACTGCTTGGCCATGCATGCTGCCATCTAGGCATTATCTCCAGGAGTAGGGTGATGAATTTTCAGTTTCTAAGCAAACAAAACTAACCTGGTCTTAGCGTCAAATGAAGGCATTGATGTTCTTCCATTAATTATACCTTTTAACAATTGGGTGTTAATTATTTTAATAGCAACCTAAGTAGCAATAACAAGTTATTAATTTTTATTGTTTGCATGATTGTTTGATTGAAAGTTACAATGTCATCATACATTTGCACAGAGTTACATGCACAATGTAACTGACCAAATGTGTACATCTTTACTTAATTGTAGGATTCCACCTCTGACATGGCCATGATTTCTAGAAAAGGCTGCCATGTCGTACGCCTGCACAGAGAGCAGAAAGAACGACAAAAAGCTCAGCACAAGGATTGGGAACTTGCTGGCACTAAACTGGGTAACATTTTGGGAGTGAAAAAAGAACAAGAGGAGGTACCTTAACTTTCATTGCATGAGGAAGCTAAAGCTAGGATACACATATATTTTGACAGTTTTGCCTTGGCCAGCTCACACTTTTTGTGGCTATGTTACAGAACTCAAAATTTAGAATAATCAACTCCATAGCAATGATCCTTGCCTACAGAGGCATTTTTCAAGTGGTTCCATCATTCAGTAAATGTGCTAAACATTTGTAATCTAACTTATAATGACCTTGTGGTTTTTGCTTGTTGTTTAAGGATGATCAAGGAGGTGAAGAAGATTATAAAGACAACCAAAAGTTTGCTGAACACATGAAGGACAAGAGTGAGGCGAGCAGCGAGTTTGCTGCTAAGAAAACAATCAGAGAACAAAGACAGTATTTGCCCATATTTGCGATAAGAGAGGAGGTATGATACGCTTTTTGCATGATTTTTCAGTTTTTCTACCCTTGTTGTGACATTATAAAAGGCTTGCTAACTAATTCGATGCCCCTTCTTTCGTTTAATTCCAGCTGCTAAACATTGTTAGGGATAATCAGGTTGTCATTGTGGTCGGTGAAACAGGATCCGGGAAAACAACACAACTCACTCAGGTTAGAAAGAATTCTGTAAGTTCAAAGGTTGTGTGATGAATGAATGAATGAAGCCCTATGGTTCTTTTATAAATACAGGCAACACGAACTCCAAGGGTGAGCGCCTATAAGAAGTATCTTACAATCCATTGTATGTCTGCATAATTCACTTGCCCTATATTTCCAACTTTGCAGTATATGCATGAAGATGGCTACACGAATTACGGTATGATAGGTTGCACTCAACCTCGGCGAGTGGCAGCCATGTCTGTCGCTAAACGTGTGAGCGAGGAGTTTGGATGTAGACTTGGTGAAGAGGTTGGTTACGCCATTCGGTTCGAAGATGTTACCTCAGAGGTGAGGACTAATACGTTAACCTTTTCTCCCTCCAGTACCCATTTTGTGTCGTTTGTCATGGACTGTCATGCAAACTCTCCGTACTGTCTGTATAAAAAGAAACGCTCTTGCTATGGTAGAATAGCAAAAAGCATTTTTTTACTTTTGTCAAGTTAGCGTTTCTCTTGCTCCTACGCTTACTGTTAAAACGTGTTGTACACCTTATTTTCAGAAAACTATAATCAAGTATATGACGGATGGTATTTTGCTTCGTGAGTCTCTTCGCGAGTCAGACCTTGATCATTACAGTGTTATAATAATGGACGAGGCTCATGAGAGATCGCTAAACACTGACGTCCTCTTCGGTCTACTCAGAGAGGTAAAACATGCTTCATGTCATTTGATAGCGTGCGTAGCAAGCGTTCTTATTTACTTATGCGGGAAGGTTGGAGCGAGTGCAAAAAAATAGAAGAAGGGGGAGGGGAAGTTTCTTCTTCCCCCTTTTGCTCTCGTCCCAACTTTCTTGAAGAACTCGTGCGGAAACGCTTGCGACGCCGGCTGGTCGTTTGACCGCCATAGTCTATGGGAGGGTCATATCGCGAGTTTCTTATTATCCCACCCAGTTAGACCAACACTCAGCTGAGCATGATACATTTGTAGGTCGTATAAGTTTTTCAAGTTGGAAGTCATTTCCTTCTTTGTATTTCGACGCTATTTTATATTTTTGATGATAATAAAAAAAGTATTGACAACAGCATCAACAACAACAACGACAACATCTCATATTTAACACTGTAAAATTAACTTGCCGAAAAAAATTATTTTTTTTTTTTCACAGGTCATATCTCGTCGAAGAGATATGAAACTCATTGTGACGTCAGCAACAATGGATGCACAAAAATTCGCCGACTTCTTTGGTAACGTTCCAACTTTCCAGGTAAGGGTGACTACTTTTGTTCTTAATGGTGTCCACTACTGGAGTGGGTAAAAAAGTTCGTTAGTGTTTTGTGTCTTGAGGCTTCACGTGCATCTATGTTTGTTTGTTTGTTTGATTCATGTTTTAACCTCTATTTCTTGGTGGTTAAGACAAAAGGGTTTTCTTGCCAGCCGAGCTTGCAAAAAATAAAAAAANTGAGTCTCTTCGCGAGTCAGACCTTGATCATTACAGTGTTATAATAATGGACGAGGCTCATGAGAGATCGCTAAACACTGACGTCCTCTTCGGTCTACTCAGAGAGGTAAAACATGCTTCATGTCATTTGATAGCGTGCGTAGCAAGCGTTCTTATTTACTTATGCGGGAAGGTTGGAGCGAGTGCAAAAAAATAGAAGAAGGGGGAGGGGAAGTTTCTTCTTCCCCCTTTTGCTCTCGTCCCAACTTTCTTGAAGAACTCGTGCGGAAACGCTTGCGACGCCGGCTGGTCGTTTGACCGCCATAGTCTATGGGAGGGTCATATCGCGAGTTTCTTATTATCCCACCCAGTTAGACCAACACTCAGCTGAGCATGATACATTTGTAGGTCGTATAAGTTTTTCAAGTTGGAAGTCATTTCCTTCTTTGTATTTCGACGCTATTTTATATTTTTGATGATAATAAAAAAAGTATTGACAACAGCATCAACAACAACAACGACAACATCTCATATTTAACACTGTAAAATTAACTTGCCGAAAAAAATTATTTTTTTTTTTTCACAGGTCATATCTCGTCGAAGAGATATGAAACTCATTGTGACGTCAGCAACAATGGATGCACAAAAATTCGCCGACTTCTTTGGTAACGTTCCAACTTTCCAGGTAAGGGTGACTACTTTTGTTCTTAATGGTGTCCACTACTGGAGTGGGTAAAAAAGTTCGTTAGTGTTTTGTGTCTTGAGGCTTCACGTGCATCTATGTTTGTTTGTTTGTTTGATTCATGTTTTAACCTCTATTTCTTGGTGGTTAAGACAAAAGGGTTTTCTTGCCAGCCGAGCTTGCAAAAAATAAAAAAAATTCTCAAACGATGGATTGATGAGGGTGGCTTTTACCCCAGGCTATATTCACACTATACCGGATAGCTACAGTCCTGGACAAAACTACTTGACAAAATGTTTTCATTAATGCGCACTACCTGACGCAACAAAACTATTTCCAAATCAACGGCTTTGTGTAAAGAAACCCCCCTCCCCCAGTTCAAAGTTGCTTCCTACAAATGCTTAGGGATCCGGCTTTCTTTTGAAGAACCAACAACACTGCTTCCAGGGGGAGGGGGGAAGGGAAGAATCGGTCGGCTGCGAAGTTTAGAAAAAATAACCCCCCAAGAATGCAATTTTCTCAACAGTTTTGTCCAAGATTGTAGCTCTTTCACGGGAACGAAAACCATACCGGCTAGGGCTTCTGTTTACACATAAGAATGGTGATTTCAGCGCGATTTCTGTAACGAAGCGAATCTGTACCGCGCTGATCTCAAAAATGGAGCATCACATATTGGATAAATTCGGTGCGATATTTAAGTACAGTGTGAACTTATATTTGGACCGTACCGGGAGTGAATACACAGGAGCAAGAACTGGAATCCACTGAGAAGGCAGAAAATATTCAGGAGTGAGGAGCCAACCGCTCCGGCACAATGTTAAAAGTATGTGAACGACTTCTTCCAGTTCTGTGCCGATACCTTTTCGTGTCAGCACGAAAAGCTATCGATATAGTGTGAACTTATCCCTGGAATACCAGGTTTCGGACTTGGTTTCGTCTCTTTGTTATCTTGCTTTTTCAATAATCTCTGTGTGCATTCTTCTGCTTGGTTGTGAAGAAGCGTTGCGCCCTTGCAGTCTTATGTGGCAAACAAATGAATTTTAGCCACTGTGTTAGAAGAATTCTTATTAAGCAGTATGATTTACACTTTTCCAGTCCAGAATTAACCATAGTTACTAACTATGATTTAACAAGAACATGATCGTCACTATTGGGTAACTGTTCTTATTTTCAGATTCCGGGCCGAACATTTCCTGTGGATATATTTTTCAGCAAGAATGTAGTGGAAGATTATGTGGATGGTGCTGTTAAGCAGGCTTTACAGATTCATCTCACGCCAGCTAAAGGTATACACCTCTTGCCTATGACGTCCGTTATTCAACATTTCGATTCTTGCGATCTGATATGAAATGAGAGCGCGAAAACGCGCGAAAGGTAGATCTGCTCGCGCCATTGGCACTGACCATGTCATCATTGCTTAATCTGCTTTTCAATGGACTTAAAGCCAGTAAGGGGAAATACCAAAGAAGACGTCATACTCGTGCATGCTTTCCACGATGGTATAGTGATACTCGTACACCTAAAAAATCAGTTGTGTAGGAGCCGCTCGTAAGGTGAAGGTCTCTCCTGATTGGTCGCAGAAAACAATCACATGTCATTCTTTCAATTGTTTCAGTATTGTTTGGGTCAGGGTTAGGCCACTTTCGAGC